GAGGCCCACAAAGGCCGACAGAGCCTCGGAAAGGGGGGGCGGTGTGGGCAGGGGGATGCGACGAGCGGGGATTGTCCCTCGGAAGAGTACAGAGGCCTTGGCAGAACGCACGTTGCACAGAGGGGCCGCAGAGGGGAACTGTAAGGACGGAACACATTGTCAAAGGGGAGTGGGGGGATGATGTGCGAGGCCGGCGCCACCGTGGTGCAGAAGTGAAGAGGAGGGAGGAACAAGCAGAAGGACAGAGGGAGTGAGAACAGGGAGAGGAAGATGATGATGATGCTGCTGATGATGATGATGATGATGATGATGATGATGATGATGATGGTGATGATGATGCTGATGATGCTGCTGATGATGATGCTTGTGATGACGATGATGAAGATGATGAGGAGTAGGAGGAGGAGAAGGAGGAAGAGGAGGAGCGTCTAGAAGAGACATGCCGTCAGGAGACAGGTGCCAGGAGGAGGAGGAGAAACAGGAACGAGGAAGGAGGAGGAGGAGGGAGGGGGAGGAACAGGAGCAGAAGCAGGAACGAAGCGGGATGAGGTTCACTGCCCATCCCATAGAGGAAAGAGTCAACGGGAGAGAAGGACAACGGGATAGAATTATCCATACGAGGATACATTTTACGCAGGAGGAGGAGGGAGGAGGCGGGAGGAGGATGAGGAGGAGGAGGAGGAGCATGAGCCAGAAGACAAGAGGGGAGTAAACAGGAAGAAGGAGCAGGAGAAGGGGAAGGCGTGGAGGAGGGATCATTGCGGACCGACCAAGAGGTGAACGAGGACCGATAAGCGGTGGCAGCGGTACGCTCTGAGATGCCCAGCTGTTCCTGCTGCCCCGCTCGGCCGGAGCACCGACTGACCCAGCACGAGCGGCCTGGGGCCAGACGGGAAGCTGCATAGCTTTCGGATAATACGGTAGGGCCGAGGTATGAGATCGAGGTCGGTTCGGGGAGGGTACCGTAATGTTCTTCGTGCTTCTTAGATGTTCTTGTGCATCTTGGGGGAGGGTGCCCTCGAAGGTTCTTCAGTTTGTCCGGCGCAGGGTCTCGTGTTCTTGGAGGGTGTTCTTCTGTCCTAGGTTTGGCCGTATCCATCGAGGTTTTCCCGATAGGGACTGGGCAGATGGGGTCGGAGGATCGCGTTGCATCGCCGATGCATCGCCGATGCGGCTTGACGTGGAGCCCGATTTCCTTCACGCCGACATCGCCGACGCATCGCCCATGCATTGGCGATGCGGCGATCCTCCCCGAGACCCCATCCACGCGGACCCTATTTGAGAGGCCTCTTAGGACGTGCTCCTCGCCTTGCTTGCCGAAAAAAGCGTCCCCGGGGCCCTCCTCCTTCCTCCTCCCTCCCTCCTCCCTCCTCCCTCCTCCCCCCTCCCCTCCTCCTCTTCCTCCTCCTCCTCCTCCTCCTCCTGCCCGATGGCAGCGGAGGCGCAGCAGCCCTCGAGAACGGCGCGTGGCCACCCGCGCCGTGCGGGGAGCCCGTGGCCGACTCTCGGCGCGGCCGCGCCGGCTCGCGGCTCGGGCCGTTCTCCGAGGGCGTGTCTCGCGAGCGACCGGGGCCTCCCGCGAGGCCCCCAAGGGCCGTGCGTGTGACGGACCGCACGGTTCCCAGACATCAGGGGCGCCCTCGAGGGCGCGAAGTTATTCGCGCTTCGCGGTTCGGCTCCGATCCCCCCTCATCCTCCTCTTCTCCCCTGGGAGGCGGCGCGCGAGAGCGCGAAGTTATTCGCCCGCCGCGCCTCGCGCAGCGCGAAGCGCGAAGTTGGGAGTCCTTGGACACGGTCGCGGCGTAGGAAGATCAGGGCGGCAAGTGTTTCGCTACCGTCGGCCTCTGGGGCGCCTCGCCGGGCCCCGGGGCCGTCGGAGAACGACTCGGGCTGGCCCCCCAGCCTGGCGCGCGGAGCGCCTCGAGGGCGACGCCGGAGGCGTCGCCAAGGGGGGGACCCAGCACCGATCCAGGAATCCGCGCGGACCTCCGACAGCTCATCTTATGGCGCTCTCCCCTCAATCACCCCAGACTCCCGATGTCGCAACTGTTAAGTCGGGCCTGTCCCTCTACAGGAGGAATATTCCAAAATAGTAAAACAATGGTCGGGGGACGATTTTGGGATTATTTTTGAGCATGTTTGGGGTATTTTTGGGGGGTATCTTTCATATTCCTCCAAAATCCCCCTGTCAGGGGACAGGCCCGACCTAAGACTCGGGATGCAAAGCCGGCCCCCAGGGAAAGGGTCTGGATTTCCGGGGGCGCCGCATTGAAAAAGTCAGGACGGCTCATGTCTGGGGCGAGGTCTTCTTGGGGACTCGAGGTCGCAACGTGTGGGCCGTCGCCATAGCACTCTGGGACCCGCAAGAGGAGGCCGCCGAGGCGGACGATGTCCCTCAACGCCGGCCAAGCCTCCCCGACCCAACCTGAAGGCCCCGATTTGCCCCCCAGTTCCTGTGGGGGGGGAGGTCGGGGAATATTGAACAAAACACCAACCCGAAATTCGGGTCTTCTGGTTGGGTTGGGGTGGTCTGGTAGGCAGTCAGTCCCCCCCTGAGCTGGTCTCCCACATCGTTGCCCCTCACCCCCGGGGCTTGCCAGAAGGGGCGGAGGAGTGCAGTCAGGCCCAGGATCGGGATAGAGTTCGTTCCTGAGCGTGCCAGAACGCTCTCAAAGCGTTCCGACGCCTCCTCCAGCACCGCCGGATCTCAGAGAGCCCCGATTCGTCCTGATCCGACTCTGTCCCGTTCCTGGCCTTGTCTTGGGAGGGTCGGAGGCGTCCAATAGGGAGGTGATTCAGTATCGTTTAACCGATCCCCATCCCCATCCCCATCCCCATCTCCGTCCAGACCTCCAACATGTCAGCACCCCAGTTGGGGATATATCCTGCGCGGCCTATATCCCCATCTAGGGGGGTAAATCGGCCTGTGGGTCCAGGCCACGCTGTTGGGGATGGGGATCGGATAAGCGATACCCAGATGACTCGGAAGGGCGGGATCTGATGGCCAGGGCCACGCTATCTCCTCGGATCTCGTGTGCCCTCCCTTTCTTCTCTTCTCTCAACACGCTTCCTGGCCCCCCCCACTCGGCAGCTGGACGTGCGGTGTCCTTGTTTTTTCTCCGTGCGGGGTCAAGGGAAGTCCCGACCTCTTTCCTGGGACCAGTTTTCGGGAGCCTTGAGACGGGGGTCAGTGCAAACGGGGGCCAGCCAGGGTGCCAGATCTTGCAGGATCGTGCAGGGCCAGGGTCGCATTGACCCGGGTTTGGGTGCAGGATCTTGCAGGATCTTGCAGGATCCTTCGTGTTGACCCGGGCTTGGGCGCAGGATTTTGCAGGATTCTGCAGGATTCTGCAAGGCCTGATTGACCCGGGTCTGGATTGACCCGGGTCAGAATATCCCTGAGGTTTCTAATCCCGACCTGTTTTTTTGGACGGTCCTGGGGCCTGGCAAGCCGGCGAGGGTCCCCAGAGGCTGAAAACGGCGCACAGATTCCCGCCGCGAGTTTTTCAGGGCGCGAGCACGTCTGGGGCCACGAACTGCGCAGCAGGAGGAGGAGGAGGAGGGGGGGAAGGCATCTGGCCGAGGGGCTGGCCGGGGACCGATCGCGATCGGCCGATCGCGCCCCTCCCGGCTGGGCCCCCCGCCCACGGCCGGGCCTCACGCGCGCCGCGGCGGGTCGGCCATCGGGCCCGCCGCTGCCGCGCCCGCCAAGCAGTGGCACGAGATGCACACCGGCTGGAGCCAGCCGAGACCACGGAGACCGCCCCGCGCGGGCGAGACAGCACCAGCGCAGGAGACGCTGAGACAGCAGCAGGCGGCGGCGCGCCGGCTGGGATTCGCGGCCCGCCGAGGCCACGCCCCGCGCGTGCAGGACGTCGCCATGCTGATGCAACCTGAGAAGCAGTACAATCAGGACTGGTACACGCGCAGCTGGCACGAGGAGTACAACCAGTCTGAGTACAACCACTCGGAGTACAACCAGAAGAAGTCGGAGTACAAGCAGTCGGAGTCCCAGGGGCGCGAAGGCTGGACGCCAGCTGGGCCCGGCGACGAGAAGGAGCTGTTCGGCATCCTCGACGGCGTCCAGGGCCAGCTGGCCAGCCTCACCGTGGCAGTCTGCCGCCTCGAGGCCGCGGTTGCGGTGCCGCCCTCAGGTGGGCAGACCGGCTGCGCCTCGTGCCTGCGCGCTGAGGCGGCCACGTTCGTGCCAGCCGAGCGGGCCGTCCCCGCCGTGGCCTACCCGACGCCGAGCCGCGTGGGCGAGGCCGCGGCGAGCGCGCTGGCCGCCAGCCAGGCCCGCCGCCGCGCCGCTGCCGGCTCCAGGTGTGCGGCCGACTGCGCTGGGAGCGCCGCGGACAGCCGCCTCGCGCACCACGAGGAGCAGCTGCAGGAGGCCGCCGCCAGGACCCGCAACTGCCAGGACCCGCAACTGCTGGGGCAACGCCCCATCGATTGGCAGCTGGTGCAGGCCCAGTGGGGCCCGGTGGCCGCGCCCGCGCAGGCCGCCCCTGGCCAGGACTCCACGGGCGGGGGGTCGGAAGGCCTCTCACCAACCCTGCCCGTGGACCCGCGCTGGCTGCAGCCAGAGGTCTCCGAAGCCGAGGCTGGCAGCAGGCAGCAGCCAGAGTCCGCCGAAGCCGAAGCCGAAGCCGAGGCGGCGACTCAGGCCAGGCAGACCCCCTCGCCTCCACAGCTGGAAGCGGCAGCTGCAGCCGGCGACGGTGAGGCCGAGGCGCAGCCGTGCAGCGGCGACGAAGGCCGGGCCCGCCTCCACGGCGCGGGTTTGCTAGCCAGCATCCCAGAGGAGGAAGCGGACGAGTCCGCCAGCGCCAGCTGCGAGGGCTCCGAGCTGGCCGCCGTGGCCGCCCCGCCGGGCCCTGGCGGCCGCCAGCTGCCCCCCGAAGACCAGGGCCGCATCGCGCACATGCTCGCCCACAAGGTGGTGCAGCTCCTGGAGGACAGCGTTGGCGGGCCAGTCCCGGTGGCCAGTATCCAGCAAGCCTTTCGGGCCCGCTTCCTCTTCAACCTCGATGTCGAGGCCGTGGGCTACTTCGACACCGTGGCCTTCCTGCGGCAGCAGCCCCCGCTCCTGGTGGCCCAGGCTCCGGATGGGGCCTTCCTGGTCCAGCTCGCCTCGGACAGGGCCAGCCCCCGCGGGCTGGGAGAGAACGGGACCGCCGACATGGAGGAACGAGAGTTCGAGGACAGCGGGCAGGGCGCCCCCGAGCAGAGAGAGGAGGATGGCGACGACCACCACCTGCGATGGCTGCTGCATGACTCCTCCGCTACCGGGGATGATGATGACGCAGGCTCGGTCGGTGCGATCTCGGACGTGAGCGAAGCCCGAGCGGGGGAAGAGCTCCTCTCCCAGAGCATCCCGGTGGACGTCCACCGCGCCGTGCCGCTGCAGGAGGTCAGGAGCCTATTGCTCGGCGACGACGACGAGTACATCACCTTCATCCGCCAGGCTGTCCCCAAGGGGACCCACATCCACTTCGTCAACTGGAACGCGCTGGGCATGCCCGAGTTCGCCGCCCAGTCAGAGGACCAGGGCGACCTCGACAGGGCCGTTGAGATGCTCATGGACCTGCTGGATGCCAAGGCGGAGGCGCTGCAGGACTTGAGCCAGCGTCACTCCTCGGCGCAGCGGCGTGTGCTGCGCCGGACAGCCGCCGCAGCGCAGCGGCCCGAGGGGTTGGCTGCTGCCGCGGCCGTGGCTGGGGCATGGCGCCCGGCGCCTGGCGGCCGCCTGCAGCCCAGCCGAGGCGAGCGCCCCCGCCTGGCGGTGCGCGGAGGCCTCGCAGTACCCCGAGAAGAGAGCTGCCTCGCGACGGAGAGCCCCTGGGCGAGACCGTCGGAGGCGGAAGGCGCCCGGACCAGGGAGCAAGACCGCGGCCCCGCGGCTGGTGGGCGGCCTGAGCCGGCCCCACAACAGTTACGCTTAGCGTAGGGCCGGGCCCCGTCCGTTGCGCTGCCTAGGGTCGGCCTGGCTCCTGGGTGCCCCCGGCCCCGCCTCGGCCCGCCTTGGCCCGGCCTGGGCCCCGTGTTGCCCTTGGCCCCCTAAAATCTCTTGAAATGCAGGTGCCATCTTGCCGCACCTGTCCAGCGGCGGCAGGCAGTCCCCTCTTCCTCCCATCCTCCTTGCGCTCCTGCTGCCGCCGCTGCTGCCGCTTCCATCGTCCTCCCCCCTCCCCGGGTTGGCGTAGTGGCGTGCTCAAACGGCGTAGGCCTCTGGAAAACCGCAGGAAAACCGCAGGAGGGGGGGGACCAGTGTACACCCAAGACTCATCAACGATGTTGGAATACAACCTCCCAAGCTCCTACAAGTATTCATTTTCTGTAAGGGAAGTGCACCGTTGGGGGACAACCGTGCGAAAATCCAGAAGCGTGCCGAAACACCATTCTCAGGAATTCAACGCCACGAGTCAACCTGACTGTAGCGTCTTGACGACCCTGAATCGTGCGAGAACGCCTATCCTGGGAGTTCAACGCCGCGAATAATCAACGAAAGCGTTGCACCCTGACAGTCCAGAATCACTCCAGAACACCCTTTCTGGTACTTTACCATGAGTAGCAGTGAAGCTCTTGCAAATGTTTAAAGCATGTATGCGCGGCGCTAAGGCGAGTGCCACATGCTGAACAAAAAGCCGCCCTCAATCCGTGAAACTGTTGCAAAGATAAACAACGAATGTACGCGGCGCTAAGGCGAGAAACAACTTTTGGAAAGGAACCGACCTCAATCCGTGAAACTCTTTGCAACGTTTTAGAACGAATGTGTGCGGCACTAAGGTGAGATCCACATTTTGCAAACGACCCGCCCTCAATTCGCTACGCTTGCCCTCTTTTGTATACGACTGTACTCGGCGCTAATGCGAGAGCCACATTTGAAAACCACCTGTTCTCAACCCGTGAAACTCGTGCAGGTGTTTGAAGCAATTGCGCGCGGTGCTAAGGCGATAGCCACATTTTGGAAACGACCCGCCCTCAATCTGTGAAACTGTGATTCGTTTTTCAGCTTGAGGCTCATATATGGTAAGAAAGTGTCAGGCGAAAGGCCTGGCCCTCCTTTTCGACTGGCCTCGGGGTGCGACAGGGAGGAAGAGCAGGAAGAGGAGGAGGAGAAGGAGGAGGAGGAGAAGGAGGAGGAGAGGAAGGGGGAGGAGGAGGATGAGGAGGAGGAGGGGGAGGAGGAAGAGGGGGAGGAAAGAGAGAGGAGGAGGAGGAGGAGGAGGAGGAGGAGGAGAGGAGGAGGAGGAGGAGGAGGAGGAGGAGCATGAGGAGCAGGAGGGAGAGGGGGAGGAGGAGGAGGAGTGGGCGCTCTCTCTGGGGCGCCCCCGAGGAGGGGTGGCCAAGGCCGGGCCGAATCAGCGGCGGATGCAGCCGAAGCGGCAGCAGGGCGCGTCGCGGCCGCGGCGAGGTGCACGGCTTCGTTCAGCCGCGGCTGCTGCGCGAGAAGCCGGGCCCGGCGGACGGGGGGAAGATCGTGACCGACCTGCTGAGGCGGCCTCGCCCTTTCCCTTCCCTCCTCGCCCTCGCGCCCCGCCGCGCGCGCGGGCCTCCCGCCCGAACCGCGCGCGGCGGCGCCCGTCCTCCTCGGGACGGCACCGGTCGTGGTCGTGTGTCGTCTGTCGTCGTCGTCGGTCGTCGTCGGTCGTCGTCGTCGTCGTCGTCGTCGTCGTCGTCGTCGTGTCCTCCTCGTCGGCCGTCTTCTGTTGTTGTCGTCGTCGTCGTCGTCGGTCGTCGTCGTCGGTCGTCGGTCGTTGGTCGTCGGGCGTCGTTGTCGTCCGTCGTCGTCGTCGTCGTCGTCGTCGTCGTCGTCGTCGTCGTCGTCGTCGTCGTCGTCTGTCGTCGGTTGTCGGTCGTCTGTCATCGCCGTCGTCGTCGTCGTCGTCGTCGTCGTCGTCGTCGTCGTCGTCGTTGTCGTTGTCGACTTCGGTCGCATTCTGTCGTCCTCGGTCGTCGTCTTCGTCGTCGTCGGTCGTCTTTCGTCGTCGTCATTGTCGTCCTCGTCGGTCGTCGTCGTCGTCGTCGGTGTCGTCGTCGTCGTCGGTCGTCGGTCGTATGTCGTCGTCTTCGTCGTCGGTCGTCTGTCGTCGTCGTCGTCGGTCGTCGTCGTCGGTCGTCGGTCGTCGTCGTTGGCGTCGTCGCCGTGGTTGTTTCTCGTCGTAGTCGTCTGTCGTCGTCGTCGGTCATCGATTGTCGTCGTCGTCGGTCTTCTGTCGTCGTCGTCGTCATGGTCGTAGTTGGTCGTATGTCGTCGGTCGTCGGTCGGTCCTCGTCTGTCGTCGTCGTCGTCGTCGTCGGTTGTGGTCCGTCGTCGTCTGTCGTCGTCGTTGTCGTTCGTCTTGCGTCGCCGTCTTCGGTCGTCATTCGTCGTGGTCGTCGTCGTCATCGGCGTCGTCGGTCGGTCGGTCGGTCGGTCGGTCGGTCGGTCGTTCCCTGCTCCCCGAGCCGCGCGCGGCGGCGCCCATCATGGCCGAAGCGCCGGTCGTCTTCGTCGGTCGTTTGTCGGTCGTCGGTCGTCGTCGTCGTCGTCGTCGTCGTGGTTGTTCGTCGTCGTCGGTCGGTTGTCGTTCTCGCCGTCGTCGTCGGTCGTCTTTCGTCGTCGAAGGTCGTCTGTCGACGGTTGCTGGTCGTTGGTCGTTTGTCGTCGTCGTCGTTGTCGGTCGTCGTCGGTCTTCGTCGTCGTCGTTGTCGTCGTCATCGTCGGCGTCTGTCGTCGGTCGTCTGTGTGCCGTCGTCGTCGTCGTCGTCGTCGTCGTCGTCGTCGTCGTCGCTGACTTTGTCGTCGTCGTCGATCGTCGGTCGTCCGTCACCAACGTCGTCGATGTCGTCGGTCGTCGGTCGTCGTCGTCATCGTCGTCGTGGTCGTCGTTGTCGTCGGTGGTCTGTCGTCGTCAGTCATCAGTCGTCGTCGTCGTCGTCGTCGTCCGCTGTCGTCCGTCGTCGTCGTCGTCCGCTGTCGTCTGTCGTCGTCGCCGTCGTCGTCGTCGTCGTGGTTGGTCGTCTGTCTTCGGTCGTCGGTCGTCGGTCGTTTGTCGTCGTCATCGTAGTCGTCGTCGGTCGTCTGTAGTCGTCGCCGTTGTTGTCTATTGTCCATCGTCTGTCGTCGTCGTCTTCGTGGTCGTTGTCGGTCGTTGGTCGTCGTCGTCGTCGTCCTTTTCGTCAGTCGTCGGTCGTCGTCGTGGTCGTCGGTCGCCGTCGTCGGTCGTCTGTCGTCTTCGTCGTCGGTCGTCTGTCGCTTGTTGTCGTCTGTCGTCGTCGTCGTTGTCGTCGTCGTCGGTCATCGGTCGTTGGTCGTCGGGCGTCGTCGTCGTTGACTCGTCGTCGTCGTGGGTTGTCTGTCGTCGTCGTCGTCGTCTTCGTCGTCGTTGTCGTTGTCGTCGTCGGCCGTCGGTCGTCAATCGTCGTCGTCGTTGTCGTCGGTCTCGTCGTCGTCAGTCGTCGTCGGTCGGTCGGTCGGCCTGTCGTTGTCGTCGTCGTCTGTCGTTGTTTGTCGTCGTCATCGTCGTCGTCTTCGGTCGTCTGTCGTTGTCGTCGTCGTCATCGTCTGTTGTCGTCGTCCTCGTCGTTTGTTTTCGTCGTCCTCGTCGTCGTCTGTCGTCGGTCGTCTGTCTCTTTCGTCATCGTGTTGTCGTCGTCGTAGTCTGTCATCGTCGTCTCCGTCTGTCGTCGACGTCGGCGTCGTCGGTCGTCTGTCGTCGTCGTCGTCGTCGTCCAGCGTCGTCATCGTCGTCACTGTCGTCGTCTGCCGTCGTCGTCGTCGGTCGTCTGTCGTGGTCGTCTGTTGTCGGCGTCGTTGGTGTCGTCATCGCCGTATGTCGTCGTCGTCGTCGTCGTTGTCGTCGTCGCCGTCGTCGGTCGTCGGTGTATCGGTTGGTCGGTCGGTCGGTCAGTGGGTCGGTCGGTCGGTCGGTTGGTCGGTCGTCGTCGTCGCCTGTCGTCGTCATCGTCGTCGGTCGTCGGTCGTCTGTCGTCGTCGTCTGTTAGCGTCGTCGTCGTCGTCGTCGTCCGTTGTCGTCGTCCTGCTTGTCGTCGTCGGTCGTTAGTCGTTTGTCGTCTTCGCCATCGTCTGTCGTTGTCGTCGTCTGTCGTCGTCGGTCGTCTGTCGTCGTCGTCTGTCGTCGTCGTCGTCGTCTTCGTCTGTCGTCGTCGTCGTCGTCGGTCGTCTGTCGTCGACGTCTGTCGTCGTCGTCGTCCTTCGCCGTCGTCGTCGTCGTCGTCGTCGTCGTCGTCGTCGGCGTCGTCGTCGTCCGTCGTCGTCGTCGTCGCTCGTCGTTGTCGTCGTCGTCGTCGTCCGTTGTCGTCGTCGTCCGTCGTCGTCGCCGTCGTCGTCGTCGTCGTCGTCGTCGTCGTCGTCGTCGTAGGTCGGTTGGTCTGTCTGTCGGTCGGTCGGTCGGTCGGCCCGTCGTCGTTTGTCGTCGTCGTCGTCGTGGTCGTCGTCGTCGTCGTCGTCGTCCGTCGTCGTCTCTCGTCGTCATCGTCGTCGTCTTTGGTCGTCTGTCGTCGTCGTCGTCCGTCTGTTGTCGTCGTCGTCGTCCTCCTTGTCGTCGTCGTCCGTCGTTTGTCGTCCTTCTTGTCGTCGTCGTCGTCGTCGTCGTCGTCGTCGTCGTCTGTCGTCGGTCGTCTGTCGTCTTCGTCATCGTCTGTCGTCGTCGTCGGTCGTCTTTCGTCGTTGTCGTTGTCGTCCAGCGTCGTCATCGTCGTCGTCATCGTCGTCTGTCGTCGTCGTCGGTCGTCTGTCGTCGTCGTCTGTTGTCGGCTTCGTCATCTGTCGTCATCGTCGTCGGTGTCGTCATCGTCGCATGTCTTCGTTGTCGTCATCGTTGTCATCATCGTCGTCGGTCGTCGGTGTGTCGGTTGTTAGTTTGGTCGGTCGGTCGGTCGGTCGGTCGGTCGGTCGGTCGGTCGTCGTCGTCGTCGTCTGTCGTCGTCTATTATCGTCGTCGCCGTCGTCCGTTGTCGTCGTCCTCCTTGTCGTGGTCGTCGGTCGTTTGTAGTCTTCGCCATCGTCTGTCGTAGTCGTCGTCGTCGTCGTCGTCGTCGTCGTCGTCGTCGTCGTCGTCGTCGTCGGTCGTCGGCTCGGCTGATGACAATGATCTTTGGAAGCGCGCCACGTCTGGCACCTCTCGACCTTATTTCTGCGAGCTCACTCGGGCCGTCACGGGATTGTCCTGGGCTCCCGTGGAGCGGTCTTGAGACTCAATCGGAGTGTCTTGGGAACTCTTCGTCGTCTGCTCGGTCTCTTCGGGCATTCGCGGGGCCGTATTGGGGCCGTACAAGGCCGTCGACGGGCCCTCTGAGGTCCTCTATCTTGGAGGCCTCGGCCGTTTCGAACCGACGGATGCCGGAAAAGGCGAGAATGCCACAGCCGTTCCAGAATTTACAAGGAATCAGCCTGTAGGGCCTCTTCGGGCCCTGCGGCGAAACTGCGCCAGGCATGGTATGGTGCTTACCAAATTTTCAAACCATCCACTGCTTGGGGTTTCTCTCTGGTGTAATTTCCTTCGCAGCGGGAGTCTGCGCCCGGCGCCCCCTCTTGCGCGCGGGACCACTCGCAGCGCCGCAGCTGGACGCGCGAGCGGATCGCCTCTGCCGCGCCGCGACGGAAGAAGCCTGCGCCCTGCGGCTTTCGGGCCCCCCCCGGGCCTTCGCAGATCGATTCGGGTCGCAGCATTCAGGGGAGGAAAGATCTGGGGCTCAAGAGACAGGGGGTCAATTTCACACGTCGGCCAGGGCGCCGGATCTTGCAGTATCCTGCAGAGCCAGGGGCGCACTGGCCCTGGCTTGCAGGATGCTGCAGGATGCTGCAGGATGCTGCAGGATTTTGCAGGATCCTGCAAGGCCTGAGTGACACGGGTCTGGATTGACCAGAGGTCACCAGACACAAGACAAGAACAAAAAGACACTGACCTCCACAATCGGCGTGTACTAAACAGCACTGGGCGTTTACGAGGCAGCCCTGCCCTGTTCGATCCCTTCCCCTGGTGCGTTTGCTAAAAGGCTCCGATCGGTCGAGTGGGTTGCGTATGGCGAGGGTGTTTTTTTCTGCCCCTGAGAATGGCGCAGAGTTCCGGAACGCTCACGAAAGGACTTATCTTCGTCCTAGCCCCGTCTGGGTGTAGGGCTCCAGTCGTGTTTTCTCGTGAAGTTTCACATTTTTTCGATGTCGGATCCCAGGGGCCTGCGGAGGCTTCGGGGTTGCGCACAGGCAGCCCCCCCCCAAGGTACAGTCAGCCCGCACAGTAAGGATGAACAACATTCCAAAGGGTATCCTTGCAATCCGGCCTCCTCGGTCCACCCTTGGCTAGTTCCGTTCGCCGCGCCGCGCGAAGAGGAGAAGGACGAGGAGGATGAGGGGGCGGAGCAGTAGGAGGATGAGGAGGAGGAGGAGGAGGAGGGGGAGGGGAGGGGGGAGAGGGGATGAGGAGGAGGAGGACGAGGAGGAGGAGGAGGAAGAGGAGGAGGGAGCGCATCGAAAGGCCCCGAAACGGGCGCCC